GGCATGTCCAGGATTGCCCTTCTCATCCTATTTTTCATTCAACCAATGTTACAGAGCACTTACTATGTGCCAGGTACTATGCCAGTCCAGGAATACGATGGTGAGCAAAAAAGACAGGGTCCTTGCGTTCAGATGATATCAAAGAAATAAACAAAGTGATGTGAGAGAGCAGGAAAGGGGAGTTTCTTCAGAGAGGCTGGTCAGGGAAGGCCTTTCTGAAGAGGGGGTACTTAAACCAGCAGGGGGACAAGGTGCTGGCCATGCAGGGAACTGGGAGTTCTAGGTAAAGGGCCCAGCACAAGGGGCGGACGCAGGCGAGGTGGAGCGTGCTGGGCAAACTACTCTACCCTGAAAAAGCCACCTCCACTCCTGTTCCCTCCAGGGAGAGCTCAGCTCTCGTCTGCTGGTTTCTGTTCCTCCTTGCACCTTGTGTGAGCTCACTCGTCTCTTCCTCACTGTTTGTCTGTAAGCCTGCCTCTCCTGCTAGAAAAGCTATTTACATTGCTATTGCCTGCCACACTTGCTGGATTACTGTTCTACATAATTCATTCTACATAAATATTTGCTGGCTGATAAAAAGAAAAACAATTATTTCGTAGAAAGTATGGGACTTCAGGGAAGTCTCTCGGTTCTCTAGGTATCAGTAGCCTCATTTATAAAATGACAGAATCGTATCTGTCCTGCAGACTTGGGATGGTTAAAAGAGGTAACTTATTAGGGTACCTGGCTGTGGGGTTGGCACACGGTAAGGGCTCAAGAAATGTTTGTTGAGGCATGACTAAGTGAGCGAACGTCTGTATGGTTTGTTACTGAGAAAGTTGGGTTATTGTGCAAGGTTCTTGAAAATTAAGCTGTTTATGATATTTTATGAAAACCAAAACTAAAGCTGCCTTTACTTCCCTCTGGCTCTGAGAAGTGCTAACACTGAATGTGCTCCAGAATCTGTGCTAAACGCAGACACTGCTGACGTGAAGGGCTGGAGGTCTAAAGTCCAGGGCCCTGGGTTGAGTTCAGATTCTAATCACTACTTATGAGGCTTGGGTAAAGGCTTTAAGCCACAACTACAAAACATGTCTGATAATCATACCTATAAAATAGAGTTTGACCCTGTGACATTAGGTTAACATTAGAGATATCAGTATGAGCTCACGTCCACATACACACACGTAGAGACACACACACAGACACAGAAACAATTGTAGATATTTGTGTATACATGGGTTGTATACACACATACTTTACTTAGCTCTCCACAGAGAAGACCAGGACCTAAGAAGGTCAATCAGCAATGACATCTCAGTAGCAATGGTCACGCCTAACAGCCAGATCTTGGTTTCCAAATACCATTCTCCAATTAAAGGAGCCAGGTCTCCTTAGGGACATGCTGATTCAAGGACAGGGGCAGAAGAATACAAGATAGCAAGATGAGCCTGGATCACCTGGTAGTGTCAGAACATAAAGTAATACGGAAGAACAAAGAAGGGCAGAGGAGTGTCAAAAAGACCCAGGAGGCTCCCTAAGCTTCCAATGGTAGCAAAACTGGAAAAGTGGAAACATTTGTGCAATAAAATAGTGTATATTTGAATTATAACTCAAAGTATAAAATACATATACATGAATCTGTGTTAGTGTAAATAAATGATTGGCTAATTAAATAAATAAGGGAGAAGAGAGATGTTTTTTACATTGGAGAATTCCAAAAGATATATGTGGATATTCCATATTGTGGGAGCGGGGGCTTGGTCCTCCCTGGCCTCCCTGAGTGTAGGCAGGACTGAGAGACTCGTTTCTAAAGAACAGAGTAAAGGAAAAGGGGGGAAATGGTGACTTTGCAATTGGGAAACCTGGCAAACGATCCTTTCACCGAGTGATGGAGGTTGACCTCACTAGCGATGTTGTGTGGCGTCATTTAACCCTGATAGGATGTCATGAGAAGAACGCTTCACCTCTGTGGTGTTCTTTCCAAAAACCCCTAACACCCTTAAACCAAGACAAAAACATCAAACAAATCCCAATTCGGAGAACATTTTACCGATGTACTTGTACCCCTGAAAACTATCAAGGTCACAAAAAACAAGGAAAGATGAAGAATCTGCCACACACCGAGGACACTAAGGAGACATGGAAAAGAAATAGGTGGGTGATGAACAATGAGAACACTTGGGCACAGGGAAGGGAACAACACTCACAGGGCTAGGTGGGGGGTGGAGGGCAGGGGAGGGAAGGTACAGCGGGGGTGGGGCAGGGAGGACGGTGAGGGATAACACTGGGAGAAATGCCTGGTGTAGGCGACAGTGGGGAGGGGGAGGGATAGAGACAGCAAACCACCATGGCATGTGTGTACCTATGCAACAATCCTGCAGGATGCAGGATGTACACATGTACCCCAGAGCCCAAATACAATAAAATAAAAAATAAAAAAAGAAATGCAACACATGTCCTGGAGTAGATCCTGGAACGGAAGAGGACATTAGAGGAGAAACGGGTGAAATCCAATAAAATCTGGGCTCTAGTAGCTACTAAGGTATATACAGTAGCAATATTGATTTCTTTAGTTTTGACTAAGTAATATTAAGATGTTCACATTGTGGGGAATTAGACTTGGGTGAACAGTATTCTCCTGCAGTATCCTCACAACTTTTTATAAATCTGAAATTATTACCAAAAAAAGTTATTAGAAATAGCAGAGTTTGGGGGAGACTAGACAATAACACATCTGACAGTGTGTTATATGCTCTAGGGCTAAAAACAGCATTATGAGCATCAGGGTTCTGTGAACTGTGCAGAATGAAATTTAGTGGTTATGGAATCTCAGAAAGTGTCCAATTTCCTGTCCATCCATGATTCTTTTTCTAAACATTACCACCTGAGACTGTCTACTAAAAGAGATGCCAGGTATTTTATTTGACACCTGGCGTTTAAAAAATAAAAGTGAATTCCTGAGGTCAGCTTGTTTATTGCTTAGGCGAACCAGAATTTGTCATGTGTCACTTTCTCATAAAAAGAGTACAAATTTACTTCTTGCCAAACCCATTTATGTCAGTTTCCTGGTAGTTTGGGGTCCAGGGAAATGGGATTTCCTGTGCATACACACCTTCCGCCACACTCAGCATCAGAGAGCTTTTGGTTCTTGTAGAACCCCAACTCACTGTGGGAAAGGCTGTTTCAAAGTCTGGCTTGCTTTCCTAAGGCATCAGGTCTCCCTGCCACCCAGCAGTTCAGGAGGCCCCAGGGAAATATGGAGAATCGCTCCACACAGGGCTTACATTCTGAACAGGATTCTCTTTTAACATGGATCAAAGTGGCTGAAGTAAATCTTGAGTGTGCTTTGGAGATGCTGGTAAATGCAGCACGTTCCTCCAGCACTGCTGTGGTTAGAAAGGGGTCTGTTCAAAGCTACGAGATCTGCCTGGGGATCGATCTCAAGGTTTGGGGACCTAAGTGGAAGCAGCTTAAAGCTGAGGAGGCTCCACGAGGCTTCTGGCTCAACTGGGACTCATACAATGTAACCTTCTGATCCAAAAAAGACAGCTTTAAAGAGCCACTGGGTGTACATGAATGGGCTGCATTCAGTTTTCAATTTGTGGGCTGTGGTGTCAGAATCATGGTTTTGGACACATGTGTATGCATCCCTGTGCATGTGCACAAGCAGACACACACACACACACACACACACACACACACCCCAGCAGCAATCAATGCCCTGTTTTGTGTGCAAATGAGAAGAGTGGTAAAAATAAACTCCCAAGACAGGTAACAGGAAACCACCCAGCTGGTCTTTGCAATGAGGCTTGCAGCTATTTTTCCTTCCCTTTCCTCCCCATTCCTCTTCTCTTCCTCCTTCTCTCCTGTCTCCTTTTTCTTTTGCTTCTTGTACTAGTGGGACTTTGTAGATTTTTCTTGCTTTAATTAATTATGGATGAAGTTTGTCCTTTTTGAGCACATGGTAGCTAGTGGTAGGGAACATTGCCACAGGACCAGCAAGAAGTGGGCCTGGAATTTCAGGTGGGTTGTAGATGATGAACAAGGGTTCACTGTGGATCCCAAATGCGGTTCCACCTTTAACTTTTGGCCCCGCTGAAGCTAGATCTTGGTTGCTCTGCATTGCTTGCTTCTGTGCTCTGAGTTCCCTGGTGCAGAGGGACCAATCCATCCACTCTATCCCTGCAGCATGCATATCATAGAGGAGATGGCTTGCATCACATTATTTCTATTGTACAAGAGTCTGAAATGTGTGAAAAGCCAGACATAGAGGGTGCAGAGTCCTGCTTATGAGGAATTAGCTGGCCCAGGAGCAGCGGTTCCATTCAAAATGACAATGCCCGAGGAGTCTCAGTGAGGCTGAGAGGGCAGTGAATGAGCATTTGGGCTTTAAGACAAACAGACCCAGGGATGAATCCCCTTGTGTTCCTCACTAGCTGTATAGCCTGGGAAAATCCCTTAACTTCCCTAAGTCTCAAAATTCCTTAACTGTAAAATAAATATAGATGTCAGAGCACTGTTAAATGCGATCACACATGTCATGCAGTGGCTGGCAGGCTGTCAATAAATACTTGCTTCTGCTATTTTCGTTTTTATCCATATACCAAGTGTATGTGCCTGGCACAGTGGAGGGAACAAACACAGGCAAGGTACAGGCCTGCCCGCCCGCATGTGCCTGCATCCTAGTGAGGAAATCTACAAAACTGCAGTAGCTTGATGTCTCTCTGCCTCACCTTCCTCATCTATAAAAGGTGGACAACCATACCTACTTCGTAAGATTAAATGCATGAATACACATAAGCGTTTAGAAAAATATTAGCACATTGTAAGTGCTCGAACAGTTATTTTACAATGATTGTTCAAAGGACAGTTAACATTTTGTTGGCACCGTTAGGAATTACTTTACAGGGAAGGTGACCATTGACGTGAGCTTGAGGGATGGCTGGAATTGTTAAAGATGGTCTGGGTAGAGGGAATGATGAAGACTCAAGGTGCAAGGTGGGGGTGGGGAGGGCCTAAGGGAGAGCCAGTCACTTGCTGGTCGCTGCGGCACAGGGTCCACAAACCTAAGAGGGAAAGGCAAGTCTGGAAAGGCTTTTGGAAGGTCCTGAAAAGCTAAGCGAAAATTTGTGCTTAGTTATGTAGGCAACGTTGAGATACTAAGCTATGTTCAGGATCAGAAGTATGCACTAGGAAAATCAGTGAGGCCTTGACATGAGAAAAGTCAGAATTTCCATCAGGATGCAATTGAGAAGCTAGTGACACCTCATCCATTCATTGTATCAGCACACATTTCTTTGGTATGTGTGAGGCACTGTCCTAGATACTGATACAGTGGTGAACAAGACAGAATTTGCCTTCCTGGAGTTCAGAGCCTAGTGAGAGAGACAGACAGGCAGGCAGTCACACAGAGATGTATCTTGTAAAGTGGCAAGTTTAAGAAAAGAATATACAGGAGCTATGACTAGAGCTTTATCTAATAGGGGCCACCTCCCTGAAGAAGTGACATGTAAGCTGAGACATGAAGGATGGGGAGGAATAACCCACCAAGTGGAAGGGCAGAGTGAGAAACTGCTTTCTAGGCAAAGGGTTGTACTGGGGTGAGAAGGTCGTATTTATCTTACAGCAAGGCATTTGTGGCATCAATGCAGAAAATGGATTGGACAGAGGGCAAGAGCAGATTTGGTTGGACTCACTGGGACAGTAGAGTGGGAACTACATCAAAAGACGACTGAGAGAATTCTACACGAAATAATGCTGTTCACCCAACATGGGATGAAGCTCACAAGCAGAAGAAGCCAGACACAAAGGAGTGTATGCTGCGGAGGACTTTGATACAACATTCCAGGATAGAGTTTCCTAAAAAATGAACCAGCCGCTGGTGACCGACTTCAGAATAGTGGCTACTCCAGGGAATACTGACAGGGAGTGTCATGAGAATTCCTTCTGGGGGGCTGAAAATTACCCACGTTTGTATTTGTATTTTCACTTGCCTTCGGTAGGTAGGCAATTCCACCTAAGCATTCATACGTGCTATGTAAGAGTGATCTGTAAAATGATAAAAAAGTCTGCTATATACCATTGAAAAATACATGCTCAAAATGTAATGTTCAGGGAACAAAGTTGGCTATAAAACTGTATATACAGGATCATAGCTCTCAAAGAAATCATCAATACAGTATAATTTATTTGAAAAATTAAAAGGAAACACACATTTCAACATGGGTTGTTTCCGGTGGTAGGATTTCAGCTGATTGCTATAAGAAGACACCCCAGGGGAATTTCTGAGACACTGACACCATGGTTAGAGATCAACCAAGCTCTCTGAGTAGAACAACAGGGGTTGTGAATCCCAGTTCTGTTCTTTCCTCAGGGGGAAGTAACTTTCAGGAAGGCACATAACTTCTCTAACCCTCAGTTTCCTCCCATGTAATAGGGAGTCATAAAGACGCCTCCATCCTAGGCTTGCTTGGGAACAAAACAAGACCACGTGTGAGGCTCTGCACCAGCACTGGGCCCACAGTGAGTGCCCAGTCAATGTCAGTTACTGCCATTCAGGGCAAGCTCAGAGGCAGAGGAAAGTGAAGCTGTCCATGTGTATACCCACTGTCCCTCTTTTCTGGGTCATCTGCAGAGATGGAGGCTGGAGAGGGGGACCTGAGGTGGAGGGTGAAGGCCTAGAACAGCCATCAGAGGAAAGTGAAGGGGGCTGTCCAGGAAGCAGTAGCAGGCTGCCCAGAAGCACTGAATGCCAGCTGGGGTGGAAGGTGATGGTTCCCACATGAAATCCTCCAATTTCCTTGTAGCCAAAGAGGATGGTCAAAATGTTACAGAGTTGGGAATTGGGAAGGGGGCCAGGGTGGGAAGACAAGGACATGAAATTTCAGATGTAAACTCTAGAGAGTATAAAAAATAAAGAATGCCATTTTAAATGGGACAATTTAAAGTTGAACTTGTTGTGACTATGCATAACTGTGAGTGTAATGTATAAATGATATTATTTAAGGAAATCACAAAAACCTGTATCATTTGCCTTTCTACACAGAGACCCATTTCTTCCTTGCAATAACAAATAACAAAAATTATGATATAATAGTCATATGCTATTTTAACACATTAAAAGTTTTTATTTTTTTTTTTTTTTTTTTTTTTTTTTTTTTAATTAAAGTTAACTAACCCTTCTAGGTACAAGTGGAGCCCAGAACTCCTCATGTGGAATTAGGGGAAATTTAATTGGCACTTAGTCAGTGACAGAGGAAGCATGAAATATACATGTTCCTCAGGTATTTGCATCTCTTTCTTCCTGATCAAGGAGACAGGCTTATGATATTTAATACTGTCCATCAGCAAAATTGTGTTCACTGGTTAGACCACAAAGCACTAAAATGGACTTCATTTTAACATGAATAAAAAGGGAATTACAATTAAAATAGAAACCTATTGTGTTATATCCAGAAAAACTACAATTTGAGAAAGAAGGCATAGAATTTTTTTTTTTTCACAGGGAGCTCCTGAAAATCTATATTGTGTGGCCCAACTGGATTCAATACTATCCTTTCCTCCAGAGTGTGTGGAGGGCATTGTGTCAAGCTTGTCTCTGCAATTCAATTAAAAGCTGCACAAAATGATACAATACATACAGGGTCCTCTGAACAGCTATCACTGAATAACAATGTTATCAATAATGATTATTTAGCAATCATTTTTATGAACACTTTTAAAACAGTATCAGGTATTGTGCTAAGCATTTTTTTTTAATGCATTAGCTCACCTGCTTCCAACAATAAACCAATGTGGGAGGTAGTTTATCAAAATCCATTTTGTGGGTAAGAGCAGTAAAGCTCAGAGTAGGGTGACCCAGGATGTGGGGATTTCCCAGGATGTGGGGCTTTCGGTGTGTATGCCAGAAAAGTCCTGGGCAAACTGAAATGAGTTGGTGACCCTATGAGAGTGACTTGCTTGATTTTTAAGTGATAGGGATTTAAACCTCTGTGTCTCTGACTGATCAGATTTCCTACCTCTTGCCAGCCCAGCTCAAAATTACAGTCCACAATGGCTGAAAGGCAAAGACATTCTTTGGTAGCGTGGGAGTAGGGATCTAGGCTGAAACACAGAAATATTATTTCTTGCAGGGTAATTGAAAATGTCAACTTGTCTCTCCCTGTCCCCAAAACACTGAGTAAAGCTAAGCCTCCCTTTTCTAACATTTCCAAAGGCCTTGCATGCCACTGGAAACAGATGTTCAGAGTGAATACCCACTCACCTTGGGAAGAGGATAGAGCTGACACAATGGTTGGCCAATGTTCTGTTTACAAAACTCCAGAGTGTGACATACCACATCAGCATTCATATCTGCGCTAAGCCTGGAGGGAAATGGGGCAAAACAAAGGCTATTCAGATCTCTCCGGCATTAGAAAATAGAAGCTACTGCAAAGAAAGGTAAATCCCCAGAATGGATTCTAATGCTCTCAGCTCGTTGCAGCCTAGCCTTTGAGCCCAGTCCTGTGGAGCTGCTGGATTGTAATGATTTCCTGCCACGTTGCTCTCTCCTGCATTTAGAACGAGGTCCTAAGGGCAAGGATGGAGCACCCACAGCACTGAGCTGCTGCCAGTCAGCCTCTCACGCTAGCTTTGGGATTCTTTTCAGGAAAAGCTACACATAAAATTGGGAAAGAAAAAGTGGGCCGGGATGTAATTTGATGGAAACAGTATTTTGAAATTTGGGCCTTTGAAACATATAGTGACCTTATAGTGAAAAATCATTTACGATATAGCTTTAAACACCTAGATTCACTTTCTTAGGAACAATCTATCTCTTTCCTTAGGGATGGAAATTCATGGGTTAGACCACAAAGCACTAAAATGGACTTCATTTCTTTTTCTTTCTTTCTTTTCTTTCTTTCCTTTCCTCCCTCCCTCCCTCCTTCCTTCCTTCCTCTTTCTCTCCCTCCCTCCCTACCTCCCTCCCTCTCTCTCTCTCTCTTTCTCTCTTTCCTTCCTTTTTTCTTTCTTTCTTTCTTTTCTCTCTCTCTCTCTCCTCTCTCTCTCTCTCTTTCTTTTTTTTCTGGTTGTGGGAGACCAGAGTTTTATTATTACTCAAATCAATCTCCCCAATTATTCGGGAACAGAGTTTTTTTGTTTGTTTGTTTGTTTGAGACGGAGTCTTGCTCTGTTGCCCAGGCTGGAGTGCAGTGGTGCCATCTTGGCTCACCGCAACCTCCGCCTCCTTGATTCAAGTGATTCTTCTGCCTCAATCTCCCAAGCAGCTGGAATTACAGGCAGCCACCACCATGCCCAGATAACTTTTATATTTTTAGTAGAGACAGGGTTTCATTGTGCTGATCAGGCTAGTCTTGAACTCCTGACGTCAGGTGATCCACCAACCTTGGCCTCCCAAAGTGCTGGGATTACAGGCGTGAGCCACTGCACTTGGCCACCAGGCATATTTCTTATTCTTACAGAAGAAAGTAAAATGTAGCTGACTTGTGTCTTTCCCTGAGGATGGTATAAGGATAGTTCTCTTTAAACATTTAGTTTATATCTAGACTGGATGGAGCTAAAACAAACTTTCCACGTCCATTTTTTCTTTCTTACTCCCAAAACTCTTCTTACCAAGAAAAATGAGTATAATTTTTCGAATGAAGTGAACAAGTATAAACTCTTAGTACATTTTACAGGCAAATTATGGATTCAAACCACAGGCCAAATCAAGAAAACAAAAATAAAAAACTCCAGCAACACAGGTTGGTAATACCCAGAGACCAATCTTTGTATTCTGTGGCAGGACAGTGATGGAGTCTAGAAGATCCTTTTTTGGGTTTCTTCCCAGCTCACATGACCACTTCACTGTCTCCCTTTGCCTGTGGGGGTGGGCTCCTGGTAACTGTGTTTATATGCTGTAGCTCCCAGCCAGTTGATTAGAACTCATTAAATTACTGTTTCAAGCAGGACCAATCTGATTCTTAGAAACTATTTGGAAATGTTGTTAAAAATGTTCTGCTTCACTCTGGGCTACTCTCAGAATAAGGAACGTTAGAGAGAGCTGGGGTGGTGCTGTCGTAATTTTCTACCATGCAGACTGAGTATCTGGAAAGCTAGGCTGAGGGGTGGGTTCTGAGGGTATTTTCCTGCCCTTCAGTCCCATAATCTGTGTGCTCTAGGTTCCTTATAATAAATTCACTCCAACCTCTCCCCACCCAGCTATTATAACAAGTACCTCTGCAGTCATGGCAATGACTAACACCTCTCTTCTCTCGCTGAGCCTGAGCCGCCGCCTCCTCCTCTTTTTTCCTGTGATTGAAGGCAGTAACAGCCCACACATGGGCCAACTCTTGAGCACTGCTGGTTAGCATTGGAGTGCTTGTCCCCTTTTAACCCCTGGCCTGAATGTGAGTCACTGAATCGGCTCTCTCCCTGCACCCTCCTCTCTGCTTTCTCTCCCTGATGCCCATTTCACAGACTCAAGTAAGTTGTCTGCTTCCCTAAGGGAATTTTATACCTGGGCATGAGAATGATAATTTGAATTTAGAATGATAAAAAGCAAACAAAACAAAACAGAAAAACACTCTTGGTTTTCACTTCATGAGTAAGCAGCAGTTGCAATGGTTGCTAAACATAAAAATCTCTTTAAAAAGCTCTAAAAATCTTACCATGGGACCACCACACCTCCAAATACTGGGAGGGGCCTTGAGCGTTTATTTCTACTGTGCACCTTCCGGTAGAAAGAACTACCCTGTGTTAATGAAAACATATCTTCTCAAAGCCCATCACAGAAAAAGGGGCCACCTTGGAAATCTCTAATTATTTTAGGATAACTAATATGTGAAAACAGGCTGGAACCATGGCTGCCCAAATTTCATTCCAGCTGAATGCGCCTAACATTGTGGGCTGGCAAGATGGTTTATCAACCTTTTGTGAGCACCTAAGTAAAGAGGGAAATGCAGAATTCATCAAGTTCATCATGAGCATCACCTGCTTAGCCCCAGGGTTCCTTCAAGGGAAGTCAGGGGCTAAGAAGACTGCAACTAAAAGTATAAAAGTATAAAAGATGCCCTCCCTTCTAAGCAGTGGGGCAGGCTGTTTGTGACAGATAAAGTCCATTACCAAACTAATATCTACCAGGGGTCAGTAAATCAGGAGAGGGTGGCTGTTTTCACACATCTGTTCTCAATTTAATTGTTCATTTATTTAACTGATGACTGCTGTCTTTACGGGGGTCTGGTAGTTAGTGGACTCAAGAGAGTGATAAATAGGGCCCTACTTAATCTTTTTTTTTTAACCTAAGGCCAGTATCCCATCTGTGGCAATCCAGGACTAGCAGAGCCAGCTATCAGGTGATATGTAAGACCTAGTCTCTGTTCCCCTCTAATAGGCCACAACTTCAAGTAAGTGAACTTGAATGTGAGAGTGGAGATTTGGACCACTCCGAGAGTGAGACTGGCCGTATTTGAGCTAGGGAGCAGAAGAGAAGAACTGGGCATGTAGCATCCCTCTAGGTCCTCTAAGATAGAGATTCATCATAAAAAGACATAAAGTGACAAGTATTCCTTTGGATAAAAAGAGAAAATGACAAACCCCATACATCCACACATATTTAAATCCATTAGGATGTGCAAGATGCAAAAGAAGTGGCAATATGGCATGCGTACTCTTGCTCAGCCTTGGGACAGAAAGCCTAGACTATGCATAATTTGCTGAATCTTTAAGCAGTCTGCAAACTCATAGGACCAATTCCCACCTTTTCTTTTTCCCAGAACAGCCAGTAAAGCCAAGAGAGTCACAATTTTAAAAAGACTTTTTATTTTGAGCAGTTTTAGGTTTACAGTGAAATTGAGAGGAAAGTACAGAGATGTCTCATTTACCTCCTGCTCCCATACATGCATAGGCTCCCCTGTTATCAGTATCTGCTACCAGTAATTTCTTAAAATTCATAAACCTGCATTGACACATTATTATCATCCAAAGAGTTTAGTTTACCTTAGGGTTCACTCTTGGTGTTGTATACTCCATGGGTTTGGAAAAATGCATAATGACTTGCAGTCACCATTATAGTATCATACGGATTAATTACCACTGCCCTAAAAATCCTCTGTGTTACGCCTATTTGTCTCTTTCTCCATCCAAGCCCCTGGTGACCACTGATATTTTTGTAGTCTCCATAGTTTTGCCTTTTGCAGAATGTCATAGAGTTGGAATCATATTGTATGTAGCCTTTTCAGATTGATTTTTCTCACTTAGTAATGTGCATTTAAGTTTACTCCATGTCTTTTTATGACTTGACAGCTCATTTCCTTTTATTGCTGAATGATATTTCATTGTATGGTTGTACCACAAGTTGTTTACACGACTGAACATTATGGCTGCTTCCAGTCTTTGATGATTATGGATAATGCTTCTATAAATATTCTCGCGCAAGTTTTTGTGTGGACATAAATTTTCAACTCAATTGGATAAGTACCTAATGGTATGAATCCTGGCTTGTATGGTGAGACAACATTTTTTTAATAAGAAACTATCAATTGTTTCATTTTTTTGAATTTTAAACATTCATGAACAATAATATGTCATTGTTTTAATTTGCAATCCTCTAATAGCATATAAAGTTCAGCTTCTTTTTGTAAGTCTATTTGTTATCCGTATGTCTTTTTAAGTGAGGTGTCGTTTAAGGTCTTTAAGTTTCTTTTTTTAAACTGGGTTGTTTGTTATTGTTGAGTTTTAAGAGTTTTTTATGTATATGTTTTAGATAAGGGATCTTTATCAAATATACATTTTGCAAATAGTTTCTCTGAGGCTATTTATTTGTACTCTGTAAAAAGTCATCACTCTGAGTGAGAGGGAAAGTATCACACTATTTTAAACAACCAAATCTCATGTGAACTCAGAGCACAAACTCATTACTAAGGGGACAGCACTAAATCCTTCATGAGGAATCTGCCCCCATGATCTAGAACCTCCTGCTAGGCCCTACCTCCAACAAGAGGTCACATTTCAACATGAGATAGGGAGGGGACAAGTATCCAAACAATATCACTATAGATCAAATTGGGAAGAACTGACATCTTGACAATATTGATTTCCTCTATTCATGAACATGGAACATCTTTTCATTTATCCAGTTATTTAATTTATTTTAATAAATTGTTATAGTTTTCCTCATATAGATCTTGCATGTATTTTGTTAGATTTAACATAAACATTTTATTTCTAGGGGTGATAACGTAAATGGTATGATGTGTTTAATTTCAAATTCAACTTGTTCATTGCTGATATATAGGAAAGTGATTCACTTTGTATACTAATTTTGTATCCTGCAACTTTGCTATAATTGCTTATTAGTTCTAGAATTTTTTTTTTTTTTGGCTGA